TCTTATTTTATTAAAACGTACGAATTATTATTAAATGTCAATATGCGATTAGAGATATTCCTCTATTCTTTATTCAAAGAAACTTAACTTTTTAAATATTCTGACGAAAGGTACGCACAAAACTTTATTTGATTCAATGCTGCACTGATATTGCACCAACTCGACAAATTTGCATTTGACTTCTTTTGTTTCGTGAGAATCTCGTTTTGTTGTAAATAATGACGAACGATCCATTCGATAATTTTGTCAGTCTACGTATTAAGTTCGTCGATCTTATACTCAAGTGTTTTCTTGTGTTACACAAGCACAACAAAGCGAGTCACAAAACATCACATGACAAAGATGGATAAAAGAAGGAAGGGCGGCCGTTAAAACCGGTCGAAATTAACCAATCGTACCGAATATGTATTCAAGAAGTCAATTTTTATTAAATATGAAATCAAACCTGGAATATTTTAATATTGAAATCAATTTTTTTTTAAAAAAAAATTATAACATTAAAAATGTAATGAAAAATAATGACTATAGGAAGAATAACGTATCATACAGCCTTAGTAAGATACGTCTAGACGTATGAATTCTGCCTTTAGAATAGTCACCATCAAGTGGGTTAAATACTGGTCTGGATGGATTTATAAGAACCGAAACTACATCAAGAATCTGACTTAGAAAGTCTGTTACCGAATAACATCTCGCTAAATAAGACTCTCCACTTTATAAGGCCATTGAAAAAGCATGATCGCAGATTGGTGGAGTTTTCGCCAAGTAATAAAAATATTGTACAGTATTACGTTTGATGTTTATCACCCGTTCTTAAAGCACGTCACGTAGTAGTACGTGTGTAAATTGTAAATTCTTAAAGGAAAAAAAATTTTTTCTTAAAGAAAGGCATTGTATATTAATTAGGAAACATAACATTTGTGAAACGATTTGGAAATGCCGATACTGCGCTGACGGCATTGTTGACATTTTTGTAAGTTACACATACCGGAGCGTTGAAGAGTTTATAAAAAGGCCACTAGCGAGTGCGCAGATTTTTCATTATAACTGAGAATTTTGAGTGCTAGGAACTCACATATAAATAAGACGCCTGTCCTGTTGAGTACATTACATCAATCTCTTAAACAAAAATAAATTTTCAGAACCTCAACTTACAGGTCTCGTCTCTAAATCTCGAAGTACAAAAGATATGATTCAAATATTCGTTAAAACCATTAACGGAAAGACACATGTAATCCGTGTGGCGACCGATGAAACAGTTGCGGACATTAAAGATAGGGTTCAAAAAATTGACGGAAGTCCAGTCAGCCGTCAACGATTGCTATACACCGGGAAACAATTGTGTGATGAGATGACCTTGGCGGATTATGAAGTTCAGCGAGATTCTACTTTGCATGTAAATTTACGGCTTCGTGGTGGCGGTAACATCTTCAGTATTTTTTCCGACGATCCGTTTTGCGGTAGCAGCAGCAAAAAGAAAGCTTCCTCATTTTCTACTTCAACAAATAACCAACAACATTATTATTCGCCTGTCACCCCTTCTCAAAATTCATTTTATACTCCTACTACATACAAAAGTTCTTATAATTCATCTCAGTATTCCAGTGTCACCCACGCAAATAAAACAGCCTCAACAAATAGATATTCAAATAATACATCGTCTCTTTATCTAAACAGTCATTCCCTTTCAGGTTCAACAACTTCTCAATCCCCCTACACAAGCAGAGTAACTTCGTCCACCCTCTCAACTTCTACACGCAATTCTACCAGTTCACACGCAAATAAAACAGTCTTAACTTTAACCCCTCCCCAATCTCCTACTCAAAACTCCGTTGGACTCCGCACAAACCGAACAATTTCCAGCTGTTCTCATGTGAATAAAACTTCCTCGACTTTAACCCCGCCTCAGTCCCCTGCACGCAGCTCTGTCAGAACGATTTCACCAACGTCAACCGCAACACGTAGTTCCAGCAATCATCGTTCAACTCCAACAACAAATACCTACACAACTTCTCACAACTCACTTAACTCAAGTGGTACCCTTCGACTGCACAACTCTTCCGTACATAATTCCGGCATCTCTCGCGTGACCAAAACCGCCCCGCACTTAACTCCTACCGCCACAAAGAATATCCGTTCATCTTCGAATCTGGCGAACAGTGGTTCTATTTCTTTGAACGTTGTACCACACCATTCCGTAGCGCTGACAAAATCTCTTACACTTGATTATGGCATAAGTAGAACCACGAATTCACAGTGGTATATGGTTAAATTATATTTGGCCTTGCCATCCGATCTCTTTGCACCTCAGTATGATTATGATTTCACATATGAATTGGATGACCAAGAACTTCACACTCGCGGACACAAGATATATAGGCGGCCTTACGGATTTATGCGGTTTGCGCTCAATGTCAAAGACAAATATCCGGGTGGAAATGCTTGGCTCGGAGATCGTGACAAGAGGCGTGGTACCACGACAATACCCAAGGAATGGCTAGTAAGTATCTACCTCTTGGGTTAACATCAAAAGTTGTGAGAAGTTGTGTAGGTATTTGTTGTTGGAGTTGAACGATGATTGCTGG